AATATTGGTGGTTTCTGGCTTCTGAGAGAAGATGCGCTCCGAGTTCCAAAGAAACACCCTTTTGACAACATGCCAAACCTTCCTGGAAGATAGACCGTGTAAGCGACATAAATGCATAAATGTGTGCCATTACAGACAAATTGATGTTTCAATATGTTTGCTGTGTCTGACGTCAGCTTAATTTTGCAACTGTGAAATACATAATGTGAAGTCACTTTAGGAAGTAAAGACAGCCGTTGTAACCTTGACCTTATGACACATCGAAGGCTGAGGGAACAATGCAAGTATGGATCTACTTACACACACTCAGTGCCCCAAATGGCAGGAAAGTCTTTGACTGTTTCTGCTTACCGACACCAGACCTAACCCGTTATCGAGATCGCCACATCAAATAAGCCATGGACAAGTCGTAAAAAAAAACATCTTTCAAAGCTTCTATGGGTAGCTTCCCAAATCAGCGAAGTCAATACTTTACACATAGAGGTTGGTTATGCATGTAAGAAGAACAAAAACAAAACACCTATAGGAACATTTTAACGCCATTGACGAATCGGGCATACGTGCTAGTACCAGTAAAAGATATTTTTCTATGCCTTTAGACGTAATGTGGTAAGATGTAAAACCGAACAAAAAGTAGATCAGGAAGCTTTACGGTCTGATGCGCACAAATAGAAAGTGAACGTTTCGGTTACAGGGCCTTTTTCCGCCCATTACATTTAATCAAACAAAATAACACGGATACACACAGTCACTTAAGTGACATATCCCGAAGCAGCCATGTTGATATCTTGGCATCGAAATAAAACGACATGACTGACTGACTGACTTTCTAGCCCACTAGGACATCACAAAAGCGATAAACACCCGATGACACAAAGTGCTACCATGTGGATGAGGATCGCCGTGGAGAGGTCCCAGAAACAGCGTTCAGACAATTGGCCTATTTATGGCCTGCCTATATTGCGGCCCCTAGCAAAAGCCATGGAGGGGCTTCAAATAACAAAAAAATTCGTCCTGAAAAGGACGAAACTATAAAACGACATGTGTGGCCCAAGAATAAATAGCTAGAGAATTACAGGGGCCATAACTCTAGCATGAAAGATGCACTGTGTTGACATTGAAATCCGCTATGTGTTTTTGTACCTCAAACAACTATGCTCAAGAGACTTGCGAACTCTGTCGCTAGAGTGGCTGATTTTGATTAATGTCACTTTCGTGTAGCGAAAGCCTTAGTGATGCTGAAAACTGAAATGCAACGGTACGGGTTGCACGGCACCGTTCTGCACATTCAAAAGATGTTGTCTAAACCTCTCAACCAGTCGTAGACCCGTGTCACAAACGAATGTCATGCCACATTTCTTGGAGTTGATGGCGTAAATGACATTGCGGCTCGTTCAGTAGAATGCCTCACCAATGTGGTGGGTCGCTTTCATGAATTCCAGACTTGTTCCTTGAACGGCACATGGACAAGTCATGTATACAGGTCTGTGGCCGTAGACTATGCCTTGGTGGGACTGAGACGGAGGTCGTAACCTACTCTTGACCACAACGTCCTTAATGTTACGTTCATGTCTGTTTACCACCAGAGGAAGCTCAGAGAAAAGCCTGCTTGTGGCAAGATCAGCTGTTAGGATAAAGAGATGCCTAGGGACAATGTTACTGCCACAGATATCGTGAGTGTGGAAGTAAGTGAGTGGATAGGTCTTTGGTGGTGATGTTTAGGTTCTGTATTGTATAGACCACTCAGGGTGATGTGGTCCACATCATAATAGTTGTGTACACTATTGCGACACGTTTGACCAGATAGAGGCGGCGATATTGATGGTAGACCACCAGGGACAATTCAAGATACTTCCTTCAGACATCACAACAAGCCATAGGGCACCAGGGACAATTCAAGATACTTCCTTCAGACATCACAACAAGCCATATGGCACCAGGGACAATACAAGATACTTCCTTCAGACATCACAACAAGCCATAGGACACTAGGGACAATACAAAATACTTAATTCGGACATCACAACTAGCCATAGGGCACCAGGGACAATACAAGATACTTCCTTCAGACATCACAACAAGCCATAGGCGCCAGGGACAATCCAAGATACTTCCTTGAGACATCACAACAAGCCATTGGGCACCAGGGACAATCCAAGATACTTCCTTCAGACATCACAACAAGCTATAGGGCACCAGGGACAATCTAAGATACTTCCTTCAGACATCACAACAAGCCATAGGGCACCAGGGACAATACAAGATACTTCCTTCAGACATCACAACAAGCCATAGGGCACCAGGGACAATACAAGATACTTCCTTGAGACATCACAACAAGCCATTTGGCACCATAGACAATTCAAGATACTTCCTTCAGACATCACAACAAGCTATAGGGCACCAGGGGCAATCTAAGATACTTCCTTCAGACATCACAACAAGCTATAGGGCACCAGGGACAATCCAAGATACTTTCTTCAGACATCACAACAAGCTATACGGCATCAGGGACAATCCAAGATACTTCCTTAAGACATCACAACATGCCATAGGGCACCAGAGACAATACAAGATACTTCCTTCAGACATCACAACAAGCCATAGGACACCAGGGACAATCTAAGATACTTCCTTCAGACATCACAACAAGTTATAGGGCACCAGGGACAATCCAAGATACTTACTTCAGACATCAAAAAAATAAAAAAAAAACTATAGGGCACCAGGGACAATCCAAGAAACTTCCTTCAGACATTACAACAAGCTATAGGGCACCAGGGACAATCCAAGATACTTCCTTCAGACATTACAACAAGCTATAGGGCACAAGGGACAATACAAGATGCTTCCTTCAGACATCACAACAAGCTAAAGGGCACCAGGGACAATTCAAGATACTTTCTTCAGACATCACAACAAGCTATAGGGCACCAGGAACGATACAAGATACTTCCTTCAGACATCACAACACGCTATAGGGCACCAGGGACAATCTAAGATACTTCCTTCAGACATCACAACAAGCTATAGGGCACCAGGGACAATCCAAGATACTTCCTTCAGACATCACAACAAGCTATAGGGCATCCGGGACAATCCAATATACTTCCTTAAGACATCACAACATGCCATAGGGCACCAGAGACAATACAAGATACTTCCTTCAGACATCACAACAAGCCATAGGACACCAGGGACAATCTAAGATACTTCCTTCAGACATCACAACAAGTTATAGGGCACCAGGGACAATCCAAGATACTTCCTTCAGACATCAAACAAATAAAACTATAGGGCACCAGGGACAATCCAAGATACTTCCTTCAGACATTACAACAAGCTATAGGGCACCAGGAACAATCCAAGATGCTTCCTTCAGACATTACAACAAGCTATAGGGCACAGGGGACAATACAAGATGCTTCCTTCAGACATCACAACAAGCTATAGGGCACCAGGGACAATCTAAGATACTTCCTTCAGACATCACAACAAGCTATAGGGCACCAGGGACGATACAAGTTACTTCCTTCAGACATCACAACAAGCTATAGGGCACCAGGGACAATACAAGATACTTCCTTCAGACATCACAACAAGCCACTGGGCACCAGGAAGAGCTCCATCAAATGGTTTATCCTGCAGCCGTTTACGGTTAATGACTATAATAGCACTACGTGTATACGTTCCTTTGAATATATATATATATATATACACGTGAATGATTATATGTATATGTGTATGTTTATTCGCTTATGTGTATCTATATATAGGACAAACAAGGTTATTAAAGGTATGCGGTTATAAATGTGTGATGTGGTCAACACAAGATATTTGTAATTATTTTGCTTCCTGACTTGTCGAACGCAGCAGTTTACAAATATAAGTCATATGTGTAATTAGTTAATTGTAAATTGTTAATGACTGACGAAACCGAAACTTTGGAGGCTGCTGCACAAGGCGGCACTGTTTGGCGAACGTGTATATAAAGAGGTGCCGCAAATTTAGAGGCATCTAGATAAAGGGCAGTTGAACAGCGAAGACAGGCTAAAAAGACCGGCATAATAGGCACCTTACCTACAGACCCCATTACTTGTCCCCATGGCCCTAGATCCTTCCAGTCCGTAGTGGGCTGATGAGTTATCTATGGATTCACAGTCATTTATAGTTTCATGATAAGTCATCTCTGGACTCACAGACAATCATCTATAGTTTCATAATGAGTCACCTCTGGACTCAGAGACAATCATCTATAGTTTCATGGTGAGATCTCTGGACTCACAGACAATCATCTATAGTTTCATAATGAGTCATATCTGGACTTACAGACAATCATCTATAGTTTCATAATGAGTCATATCTGGACTTACAGACAATCATCTATAGTTTCACAATGAGTCATCTGTGGACTCACAGACAATCATCTATAGTTTCATAATGAGTCATATCTGGACTTACAGACAATCATCTATAGTTTCACAATGAGTCATCTGTGGACTCACAGACAATCATCTATAGTTTCATAATGAGTCATATCTGGACTTACAGACAATCATCTATAGTTTCACAATGAGTCATCTGTGGACTCACAGACAATCATCTATATTTTCATGATGAGTCATATCTGGACTTACAGACAATAATATATAGTTTTATGATGAGTCATCTGTGGACTCCAAGACAATCATCTATAGTTTCATGAAGAGTCCTCTGTGGACTGACAATCGTCTATAGTTTCACGATGACTCATATCTGGACTCACAGACAATCATCTATAGTTTCATGGAGAATGGAAGAAAAAATAATCCTCCCTCTTGTGATGAATGAACCACAATAATTTGTTTCCCCCCATTTTGTTATCTCCAGATGCAGCCTGACGTGTTAGGGAGGCCAAAGGACATGGCCGAGACGTCTGGTTTCCTTCCATGACTCCCTGCCATTCTTGTCAACAACAACAGGTCTTTTAGACGTATCTGTCATAAAACATTTCAACCAGCATGTCTGCCAAGGGAGTGAAAGTTGATTCACCACACAACACCACATACAACATCACTTTCCCCGGCAACAGCAGCAACAGCATCCCTAACCTGGAACCACCTCTGTACGTCTACATTTACGTCACCACAATCAATGTACTCGTGTTCTTCGTTGGAATTATCGGCAATGCTTTGGTTATTCAGGTTTGTGCTTGCTTGTTGTTTTTGACGCTTTTCTTAACATGTGCAAGATGTCCGAACGAGGAATAAAGTGTGAATCCGGCAGGGAGAAGCGAATGAGAGGAAGAGAAATAGGTATGTATAATCAGTTTGCTACAGGAACTGTTAGCATCTGCACGTTAAGCCATTTTCTGCAGGAGACGGATCATCTATGCGTGTGCCCGATGTTCTATGATGTCGATTCTTAAGTCAGTAATCATGCGGTTTTCTTTTTGCTTTTCTCTAGTCTTTCTCCCGCCTTTTTCAGTCCTTTTCGACTTTTTTCTTTTATCTATTTCGTGTCTTTTACTCGCCGTTTATAGTTATTTTTTTTTTTCTTGCTTATTTTATTACTATTTTTTTTCCATGATATCTCCACTCCCAAGGAAACGTAACAAACATTATTCGGATGTTCAAAATATTTTTTTTCGAAGAACATCGGAGATCGTTGTTGGAGCTAGGAAGACACCCTCTGCACGACGCTCTCGACAAGCAGTGTGGCGTTTCGAGAAACTACTTTAGTAGAACTGACTGCAATTCTATCCCACCAGGACATCACACAAGCGATAAACACCCGATGACACAAAGTGCCACCATGTGGATGAGGATACTGGAGAATGACCAAAAAGGATGCACACAAGCTATCCATCTTCCAACACACATTTCCAGTTGAATTATCAAGTTTTTCTGGCCAGATACAATCTCAAACACTAAACTACTTCAAGCCAAACACCAAGAAACTCTTGACAGTGTGATAACCAAGAAAACATGGAAATGGCTTGGCCACGTTATGAGAATCAATCCTGATATACCTGCTGAAACAGCTCTCACGTGGATACCAGGGGGAAAGAGAAAAAGAGGCTTCCAAAAACAACATGGAGACGAACGATGGAAAATGACCTGAGTGCAGCATCTTTGACTTGGAAAACTGCACTGAAGATTGCACAGGACAGGAAAGCATGGAAAGTCCTCTCTGAAGCCTCATGTGCCACTAGGCATAACGAGAACTTATGATGATTGATGTTGATGTGTCTGTTTGGATCGACATCGTACGTCTTACATCTCTGGTTGGCCACCGAAAGATTTGACCATACAGAGACTGCAACTTGGATGGCAGATCCCAGGGAAAGTCGAAGATATTCTGTTCAGACTTCCGAGGAGTTTTATGGAGATCGCGACTTTGACATAGAAGTGGTTGTCCTCCAGTCCTTTGCGCTTAATGGATGTAACCGAATTATATGTGTTTTTGTTCCAGTATTGTGTGTGTGTGTGTGTGTGTGTGTGTGTAGCTGGAAGCCGTCGTTGCGGACCTTCACACTGGCGGGTCAGGCCATGGGGTAGCTTTCCATTGACCAGAGAAGCGCCGGAATTCCGCAGCCCCCTGAGCGACTGAGCAGCCCTTTTTAGGACAGCACTGCTCACCTCCATGGCATGAGGAAGGGGCTAGAAAAGTTGCCATAAACATTGACTGTTCCACCCCTACCTATCTAGCTTACCGCGGCTGGGTGATACCATGCAACAGCGATCGAAACAAAAGAATATTTAAGACTAGCTGTACCCGGCCACGCGTTGCTGTGGCGTAATTTGAGATAGTCTTTGATCCCCCCCCCCCAACCCCACCCCCACAACTAAATCCACCTAGTACCCTCTCCCTCATCAAAGGTTTTTAGAAAAGAAAGACAATGGAAATCGCACCTGTCTAATGAAGTTAATGACGCAGTCAATGTCTGCGCCGACGTCGACATAGTCCTTGATTGACCCCCCCCCCCCCCCCCCCCATCGAAGGTTGTTTGAAAAAAAAACAGAAAATAGAAATCGTGTTTAATATGGTTATTGTGGCAACTATAGAGATAGTCTTGTTTGCGGTACCTCGACCTACTCTATGTATTAAGGCGTTGGCTGCACGTAACTCGCCGGCGAATGGCGGAAGCCTTGCGTTCTGACTACGTCGGCGCATGCGCAGTTACTAACGTGGTTATAATTAGAAATCACTTAAGTTATAAATATTAGTTGCGTATATTTTGGCATAAATTGTGGTCACCTATCTCTAACAGTGACAGGTTGAATTTCAAACCACGACGGTTCAAAATCCGGTATCACAAAAAACATATCCTGAAAATTTCAGCTGAATCCGTTCAGTAGTTTCCGAGTCTATAGAGACCAAACAAACACACAAACATTGATTTTTATATATATAGATATATAGATAGATTGTCTGGTTTTCCAACTTTAGAACACGCACCATATAATTGTGTCTTTATATTAGTGGTCGTTTAAATGGTGTTATTAGCACGGTAACAAAATTGGTTATTTGGTTATCACATGCTAAAGCTGTTTGTATTTTTATAGGAGACGGAAGTAAAGCTACAACTGTACTTGTAAATAACAAAGTAAGTCGTAAAAAAAATAGAAAAGCGGAGGTAGCGTTAGTAAAATATAAACAAATTAGGTAATGAGAACTTGAAAATCACGTGTAAAGCTCTTTAAGTTCTCTTAAATTTAAGTCATTACCCCCCTCCCCTCTTCCACCGACTACTGCTCTCTCCCTCTTCGAAGGATTTGAAAATCACTAACTGGCTATATTTTGTTGTTGATGTAACTGACATTGACATCCCTGTCCATCTGGACTAAAATAAGGAGCAGGAATTGTAAAAGGTAGTGAATAGGGCTAAAAAAAAAACAACACTTGAAAAGCAAATGAACACAGGAAAAAAACACCATAATTAGGAAATGAACGCCATTGTAAACAGCACAGCTTAAAATTCCAACACAGATGAAATAACTAAATCTAAATGAAAATAAATGAAAATCTATAAAATTTCAGCTTAACCATGCAATCGGAAAGTTTAACAATGCAATCATAAGTATGCGAAATGGTCAAATTTAATTATCAAATGGTTTACCCATTTACTTGTTTTTTTTTTTTTTTTTTTTTTTCAAATATTAAGGCAACATGGCTAGTGCTGTCACCACGACAGAGCAGATGAGGATATTATTTTAGTCCGGGGTAAAAAAAAAAAATTTAACTACTGCGGATTCGAACCCATGTCTACCGCACTTGAACCCAGTGTTCTAACCATTCGACCAAGCAGCCACTTAATCGGAACAACGTAAAGAGAACACAACTATTAGACATTTGTGTCCCTACCACTGTGTCGAGATTAAAACACAATTCAAAACTGCAGGCAATTGTTTTCTCGTAGACAGATACTCCAAATATATTAATGAAATAGAAACCGCACGTGTCTAACACGGTTAATGAAGTTAATGTCGCAGTCACTGTCTGCGCTGACGTCGAGATAGTCCTCGATTGCGCCCCCCCCCCCCCCCCCGAAGGTTGTTTGAAAAAAAAAGAAAATAGAAATCGTGTTTAATATAGTTATTGTGGCAAATATAGAGATAGTCTTGTTTGCTGTACCACGACCTACTCTATGTATTAGTATTATAGAAGGCGTTGGCTGCACGCAACTCGCCGGCGAATGGTAAATACGGCGCATGCGCAATTACTAACGTGGCTATAATTAGAAATCACTAAAGTTATAAATATAAGTTGCGTATATTTTGGCATAAATTGTGGTCACCTATCTCTAACAGTGACAGGTTGAATTTCAAACCACGACGGTTCAAAATCCGGTATCACAACAAACATATCCTGAAAATTTCAGCTAAATCGGTTCAGTAGTTTCTGAGTCTATAGAGACCAAACAAACACACAAACATAGATTTATATATATATAGAAAAATAAACTTGTCCCTAAAATTGGGAACCTGGAACGTACGCACCTTGCCCGACAAAGAGGCCAATGGCCCAAAGAGACCCACGGCTCTAATAGGGAGAGTTTGTTTGTTTGTTTTAGTATCCAGAAGCCGTGAGTTGTCAACCCTTAGGCTCGGCATTATGGATATCGCAACCTTTCGACCTTGATTCCATTGTAAATACCGTAAATCTGGGAGAAATGTGGCTTTTCTGCCTATCCCTGGGAGTGAACCCGGACCACAAGGAGTTCGTCACCCGGTCACCACGCAATCCGGTTTAGCCAACTACGCTAGAGAGACGGGCCTAATAGGGAGATAACTTAGCAAATACGAAATCGACATAGGAGCCCTAAGTAAAACTCGGCTTGCAGGCGAAGGTGAAATCCGGAAACTCGGTGCTGGCTACACATTCTTCTGGAGTGATAAAACAACCCAGAAGAAAAACGCGGACGGCGAGATTTTGATCGAAGACAAACAAAAAATCCTCAAGCGCTGGCTCCATCACTTTAACTTCGTACTAAACCAGACATCATCCAACAACGATGAAGCCATCAACTGACTACCCCTAGTTTCTATCAATGATACATTGGCAGATCTACCTACAGCAGAGGAAACAATTAAAGCTATCCATATTCTTTTCAATGGAAAGGGGCCTGGTCCAGATGCTTTTCCAGCTGAAGTCTTCAAAGTAGGTAGTCCAGTTCTGACTAATCAGCTACACAAGATATTTTAAAGAATTTGGGAGTATGAGACCATCCTACAGGATCTTAACACTTTCGCTGCTATAGACGTATATATATACATCCGCCCGATATACTGCTAAGAACGAATTAACTCGTCTTCTGTTTTCTGTGTCCCCACTGCTAGGGACGAGTTACCTCGTCTTCCGTTTTCTGTGTCCCAACTGCTAGGGACGAATTAACTCGTCTTACGTTTTCTCTGTCCCCACTGCTAAGGACGAATTACCTCGTCTGTGACTTTTCTTACAGACTGCAAAGAACCGTAATTGTCGGGGGGAGGGGGGGGGGGGGAAATCGCAACATACATTACCAAATACAAAGAACATTGGTTAATTAAAGTTGATGAAGAATTAATTTAGTTTTGAAATGTGTGAGTTATGAGTTGGGTTTTCTTCACGCCACGCTAGCGGACATGTTCCTGGCCGTCAGCAATACTGACAGACCCAGCCATTAACGTCGACTGGATTAAAATGGATCCTCTACGATCAT